TTTATAAAAAAATCCAAACAAAAGATTTGGAGGGGATGTAAGGCATGTCGTAACAACAAATGTAATATAAATGAAAAAGATTATATTAAACATCGCGAATTTGCAGGTGGAAATTACCTACCGGTACGAGGCTGCAACTCGAGAACCTTTCTTCCTCATCGGTTGTCGGTTCTTCGAGCTATATGGCCGGCCCACTGCCACTTCAGCTTACTAATCCGTTGGGCTATGTCGGTCACTCTGATTCTACTGCGGATATCCTCATTCCTAAGTTTATCACGCAGAGAAACTCCGAGCATAGCCCTCTCCATAGCTCGCTGAGCGACCTTGAGCTTCCTCATACGGCCAGCAGTGAAGGACCACGTCTCAGTTCCGTAAGTCATCACTGGCAACACGCACTGGTTGTACAATTTCGTTTTAAGGTTTTGAGGTATGTCTGACGAGAAGATGTGTCGTAGCTTCCCGAACGCTGCCCAGCCGAGTTGAATCCGTCGATTGACCTCTCGGTCGAAGTTGGACTTACCCAGTCGGACTATTTGTCCCAAGTAAACATACTCGTCAACAACTTCGAGCTTAGTGTTCCCAACAACTACCGGCATAGGTGTGACATGGACATTAAACATGATCTTAGTTTTGTCCATGTTCATCTTAAGACCTATCCGTTGGGAAACACTATTGAGGTCATTGAGCATAGTGCTTAGGTCCTCCAGCGATTCTGCCATAAGGACTATATCGTCGGCAAATTGAAGGTGAGTGATGTACTCGCCATTGATGTTGATACCGTATCCTTTCCAGTCCAGAAGCTTGAAAACGTCTTCCAATGCAGCGGTGAAGAGTTTCGGGGATATGACGTCACCCTGTCTTACACCTCTCTGCAATTGGATAGGTTTCGTACTCTGGTTCTGTACTCGGATAGCCATCGTAGCCCTACTGTACAAGCACTTCAACACTTCGATATACCGACAGTCAACTTGGCACCGCTGAAGGGACTGCAGCACCGCCCAAATTTCGACGGAATCAAAGGCTTTCTCATAGTCCACATACGCTAGACATAGTGGCAAATTGTACTCTTCGGACTTCTGTACAACTTGCCGAAGGGTATGTATGTGGTCTATGGTGCTAAAGCCCTTTCGGAAACCGGCTTGTTCGGGAGGCTGGAAGTCGTCAAGTCTGCGCGCGAGACGATTCGTAATGACTCTCGAAAACAGCACGTAGACGCGGCTCAGAAGGGAAATCGGTCTGTAGTTCTTCAAGAGAGCGTTGTCACCTTTCTTGAAGAACAAGACCACCGCACTTCTGCTCCACGCCTCCGGTGTAATGCCACCATGGAGGACGGAATTAAAGAGCTTCTGAAGGACTTCAAGTACCGGTCTTCCACCCGCTTTCAGAAGCTCCGCTGTAATTCCATCCTCGCCTGGGGCCTTACCGTTTTTAAGGTGCTGGAGAGCCATCCTAATCTCGCTCAGACTGACATCCGGGATATCTTCGGAATAGTGTCGGATGAGACTCGCTCTTGGATCGTTACTCACACTTGCGTGTGGCTCCAACGATGATGTGTACAGCTGCCCATAGAACCTCTCAATCTCACTCAAAATCTCAGGTGTCCCGGAAACGATGCTGCCACACTCTGTCTTCAGCTTTGACAGTTGACTCTTTCTGGCAGACAGATCTCTGGCAAAGACTTTGGACCCTTGGTTCCGCTCGATCGCTTCTTCAATACGAGCTGTATTGAAGTTGCGTAAGTCCCGCCGCGTGCATTTGGAGATCTGTCTGTTCAGATGCCTGTATGCTGTCAAGTCTGTTGAAGAATATAGCTTCATCTCCCGTCTAACAGCCATGAGATTAAGAGTGTGATCGGAGAGTTTCTGTGTTCTTCTGCGGCGGGTCTTGCAGAACTTAGCTCCAACCGCATGGACAGTTTCCACGAGCTTGTCATTCATATCGTCCACTTCATTGCAGTCTTCCAGGCACTGAAAACGGTTTTGTAACTCGAGCTGAAAGGTTTCGGGACTTTGGAACAGAGCACGAGGGGGACAGAGCGTTGACTTCATTAGACGAGACCTCTCCAACTTAACGTTTAGGTTCAGTGTGCCTCTAACCATTCGGTGATCGCTATATATACTGCTTTAACTTCGGAAGTGTTTCGCTTGTGGCGCGACGACAGCACCGCCACATTACCCCCCTGCTCAGACTGGAGGTCGATAGTGCAGTCAGATTGCCGGTGCGTCCTTAATGCCGGTGGGGAATGCATGCAGTGTGAGTAAGGGCAAGTGACACCGGTGCGAACGATATGCCGGTGTGTAATGCATGCCGGCCGTACTACGCACTTGCAAGTGATGCCGATGAGAATGATGAACCGGAGCAAGTGCCAGGGATTGCCTTATAGTCTGCGGTGGGTCGAGAAGAAGGCAAGTAATCTGCGAAAGTGCCGTGAAGCAGAGGCGAGCAGTAAGGCTCAGAGCCGTGCCGAACACTGTAGCGCAGAGAGTAGCTTGAAGGAACAGGAAGCATTATTATTCCAGTGCTGCGATGAACCTACATAAAGCTAGATGGCTTGCAGAATGTGAAGACTGCAGACAATATCTGCTCGGGAACGAATGAATGGGGTACTTGAGGATGATGATGAAGGTTTTGAAGTTGGAAGTTGTAGTTTTCGAAGGTTATTGGTTGCGTGTTTAGATCACGTCGGGGTGACCACTGTGGCGGGTGGAAGGAAAAGGGGAGATCTCCTGCCGGGCAAGGTGTTCTTTCCTGGGAGCGGCCAACACTCCCAAGTGGTAGTTCGGAGCTATTCTATATATACTGCTTTAACTTCGGAACTTTCTTAGCGCGATTTAGGCTTCGATGTGTTTCGCTTGTGGCGCGACGACAGCGCCGCCACACCATGTTGATGTTCATTTTTTCTTACCCCTTCATTGATCTTATATTTTACTTAGGTTTTGATAATAGAAACCTTTCATATTATAGGCAAATTACTTAAATTCAACTGCTGTAGCAACATTGTTATGTGATGTATTGTCAATTGTAAACTGATTTTGATGATTCTTTTTTTATAAAATAAGCCTCAAGTGTACTCCCATTTAAAATTGAAGAAAAAATTCTCCCCCTAAGTGTGGAAAAATAAGGGATGAGGTTTTTAGTGTTGCTATTTAGACAACATTTTAGTTATTATCTTGATCTTGTTTACTTAGTCTTTGTCTTACTTAGTCCACTCAAAAGGTTCAAATAATTAAACTTAAAAGAAAAAGCAAAAACTAACTTCAATAGACTAAACAGAATGGAATAATTTACATACAACTTAATAGCTTGTGAAGTTCTTGCTACAAAGTGTATTGAAGAGTTATAGTCCTGATTTCAGAAGCTTTTAAACTATGTAGAGATTGTTCTTATCTTTTTAGTTTTTGAAGACAGTTTTTTTTACAAAGTTTAATTATAGTTTATCTATACAATACTAATAGGTCTATATTATGAGGATAAAATTATTATTTTAGGTTGTTATACATAGAATTCTAGGGCATGAGCTGTTGGTATGAAATTGAGTTACTATAAACTTTTATTATTTCAATAATATTATGTTAACACATTTAACGGACTACATTAATTTCATTTGATAAAGAAAAATATGTCACAGAAATTTTATACATACAAGCATTCTAAAGGTACATCATTTTATATGGATATAAATTCCATTGTTACAGATCCTGTATATTTTGCATCTGAGGCGGCTTCATAGCAAAGTATTAACCAAAGTAAAGAAAATGTGATTGCAATTGTTGGTATGTAATATTATTAATTAATATAAATTAAATAAATATAAAAATACATTAGTATGGTTTGCTTCGCCAAACATTTAGTAAATCAGTATTTATAACTTCATTTAAACATTTCATTGGTATTATGAAATTTTAAAGAGAGTGCTACCCCTGAGATACAACAGAACAATATGAGTAACATAATTACTGTATTATAAATGTAAAATTTTGTCGATTTAGATGCTAAGGAAAAATCTGAATGGAATGAGAAAAATTTGGCACACTTTCAAGTTATAACTTGGAAGAGGACATTAGGGTACCCTCCCCGGGGTGCAATGTTCATAATGTTATATAAAATGAAATAAAGTATTTATTTACTTATTGAGTCTGTCAGCAGTTTCTACATTTATATAAGACATGCTAAACTACTTAGTTGTAAGTGGCTTATATACATCCCACTGCTGGGAACAGGCCTCCTCTAATATTAGAGAAGGTTGAGCAGCAATTAGTCAGACACAATGTGTTAATCCATATTGACACGTTATATGTATTAAATATATTTTTTCTTCAAGTATAAATATATATTTTCTTCAAGGTTTCCTAATAATTTTTTTCACCGCCAAGTATGTGGTAAATCACCACTTAAAATAACACTAACAATTTTATTGATGTAATAAAATAAATGATGTATGCTAATATATTATAATTTAGTAAATAATAATTGAAATTACTTATGCTTTACCTTTTTTATAGGTGAAAATAAAGTTAATGCTGTAAAGAAAGTGACAAACGTGTAATTGCTACAAAGTCTGAGAAAAATCTACACCAAAAGATCAGGGCTTTAAAAATAAAACTCACCAAATGTCAGAATAAGGCTATGAAACAAAGTAGTGAATTGAAATCTGCAAAAAAACTGTGTACCAATCCAAAATTTCTCAAAATAATGGATAATTGGACTACCTCTGCAAAATTATTAACATTAGTGCAATTTAGAGAATATAAAAAAAAGAGTAAAGGCCGAAGATTTTCTACTGAGGAAAAAATCCTTGCACTGACAATGATGAAGCAAAGTCCCAAAGCTTACCGCTTTTTGCGAAAAATGTTTATTCTGCCATCACCTCAAATTCTTTTAAAAATGTTAAACAGGTGTACATTAAGACCTGGGATAAACAAAAATATTTTTTCACAATTAAAGATAAGAGCTGAAAAAATGAAAGATGAACACAAATTGTGTGCTCTAGTGTTGATGAAATGCAGTTACGGGCAAGTATTGCCTATAATAGAAGAAAAGATGCAGTGAGTGGTTTTGTAACAGATGGACACGAAGCTAAGAAAATTCTTGCTGATCATGCTCAGGTTTTCTTAATCCGGGGCCTTATTAAAAATTTTAAGCAACCAATAGCCTATACCTTCTCATCAGGTATGACAAAAGGTTATGAATTAGCTAAACAAATAAAAGAAATTATTACTGGACTGCAGCAAGTCGGCTTTAAAGTTTTAGCTACTATCTGTGACCAAGGCACAAATAATAGGCAAGCAATCAAAATCCTCAAAGAGGCGACAAGGAGGTCATATTTATGCCAAAACGAAACGGAAATGCCTCGAGATAATATTTTTATTATAAATTCTCAAGAAATTGTTCCAATATTTGATCCACCTCATTTATTAAAAGGTATAAGAAACAATCTTCTTACTAAAAACCTTAATTACAAAATAGATGGAAAACCTGGCACAGCTAAATGGCATCATTTAGAACTACTCTATAAAGAAAATCCTGGCTACAAAGGCATAAGGCTTATGCCTACGTTAACGGAAACTCATATAATTCCTACCAAAATACCAAAAATGAAAGTCAAATACGCCAGTCAAATATTCAGCCGAACAATCTCATCCAATATGGGATATCTCGCAGGTATATAAATAGTTTTTAAAATCATTAAAATAGTAAGTTACTTAATAATAAATGTATAAGTTAAAAGTAAAGCTACAGCATATATCTATTTATTTAATTCAAAAACTCTTGTGGCTTACAGCAAATCTAATACACAATCTTTATATGGTGGAGCCATGCTGCAGCTATATTAGTAGTATAGTTGTAGCACGAATGGGTCGGCTCGACCGTGGAGGTACCACGCTCTCACAGAATAAAATAGCAGCTTAATGCTGCTGTGTTAGTAGTATAGTTGTAGCACGAGTGGGTCGGCTCGACCGTGGAGGTACCACGCTCTCACAGAATAAAATAGCAGCTTAATGCTGCTGTGTTTTGTATGGTGAGTGTTGAAAACCGGAGACCCTTTTTACTGGAAATGAAGCATTCCATCTTAGTCCTCACGGGTTACAACGCTTCTGCATTTTGATTTATAATCGAGGATAGATGTAGATGTCTATGGGCCGCAGGAACCACTTACCATCAGGTGGACTGTATGCTCGTTTGTCACCCTTATCCTATAAAAAAAAAACAAAGTTACATTTGATATGCAATTTTTTTTTAAATTGCATCCATCCGTAACAACAAATTAATAATTATAATTTATAAATTAGTAATTAAAAATTAATAATCAAATATATACATCCCACTGTTGGGCACAGGCCTGCCAATTTCTGTGACTTCACTTGTCTTCGACAAGCTACAACAAGCAGGTTTCCTTACAATGATTTCCTTCACCACCTAGCACATAGTTAATCAATATATTGTGCACTTTAATAAAACTAGTCTGTTACCTATATATAGAGATACACAATTCAAAGAAATTAGAATGTAAAATTTAGTATGTGAGATAATTCAATTGCATTTATTAATGCAACAACTGTAACTTTTACTTTTAAAACCCAAGGTGTATTTATTTATATCACAATATATTTTTTTATTTACTTTCAGATAAAGGCATTCTTCCTGTAGCATGTAAGGAGACTGCAGATTTTCTTTTTTTTTATGGATAATTTATTTGACTCCGTAAATGGTAGTTATCCAAAAAATAAATATGTTAAACCTTTACTCGGTCCAGTAACACCCACGTCAATTCATAAAAAAATTTGGAGGGAGGGTAAAAAAATACTTCAGACATTACAATTTGTAAACCAAAAGTGCCTAAAAACAGAATTTGTACCAACAGTACAGAGTTGGATAACTACCATTAATGGCATGGAAGACATTGTTGCGAAGATGGAAAAAGATTATAAAATAACTTCTGTTTGGATGCAACACCTTAACCAAGACCCTTTAGAAAAATTTTTTGGGGCCATTCGTAGTCATGGGGGCCCCAACAATAATCCAACAACAGAACAGTTTGAGTCTGCATTTGCTACATTCCTAATAAACAGTTTAACAAGTGTTTATGCTCCAGGATCTAACTGTGAAAATGATAATGGTGAATCATTATATTCTCTTATAATAAATAAGGACAGTGAAGTCAATAAGACCTGTGAAGTTGATATTAATGACGTACTAGAAATTTAATTAGTACCATTGGCGTCTAAATGCGATCCTAGAATAATGGCGCCATTGGAATATGTAAGTGGATACTTTATAAAAAAATCCAAACAAAAGATTTGGAGGGGATGTAAGGCATGTCGTAACAACAAATGTAATATAAATGTAAAAGATTATATTAAACATCGCGAATTTGCAGGTGGAAATTACCTACCGGTACGAGGCTGCAACTCGAGAACCTTTCTTCCTCATCGGTTGTCGGTTCTTCGAGCTATATGGCCGGCCCACTGCCACTTCAGCTTACTAATCCGTTGGGCTATGTCGGTCACTCTGATTCTACTGCGGATATCCTCATTCCTAAGTTTATCACGCAGAGAAACTCCGAGCATAGCCCTCTCCATAGCTCGCTGAGCGACCTTGAGCTTCCTCATACGGCCAGCAGTGAAGGACCACGTCTCAGTTCCGTAAGTCATCACTGGCAACACGCACTGGTTGTACAATTTCGTTTTAAGGTTTTGAGGTATGTCTGACGAGAAGATGTGTCGTAGCTTCCCGAACGCTGCCCAGCCGAGTTGAATCCGTCGATTGACCTCTCGGTCGAAGTTGGACTTACCCAGTCGGACTATTTGTCCCAAGTAAACATACTCGTCAACAACTTCGAGCTTAGTGTTCCCAACAACTACCGGCATAGGTGTGACATGGACATTAAACATGATCTTAGTTTTGTCCATGTTCATCTTAAGACCTATCCGTTGGGAAACACTATTGAGGTCATTGAGCATAGTGCTTAGGTCCTCCAGCGATTCTACCATAAGGACTATATCGTCGGCAAATTGAAGGTGAGTGATGTACTCGCCATTGATGTTGATACCGTATCCTTTCCAGTCCAGAAGCTTGAAAACGTCTTCCAATGCAGCGGTGAAGAGTTTCGGGGATATGACGTCACCCTGTCTTACACCTCTCTGCAATTGGATAGGTTTCGTACTCTGGTTCTGTACTCGGATAGCCATCGTAGCCCTACTGTACAAGCACTTCAACACTTCGATATACCGACAGTCAACTTGGCACCGCTGAAGGGACTGCAGCACCGCCCAAATTTCGACGGAATCAAAGGCTTTCTCATAGTCCACATACGCCAGACATAGTGGCAAATTGTACTCTTCGGACTTCTGTACAACTTGCCGAAGGGTATGTAAGTGGTCTATGGTGCTAAAGCCCTTTCGGAAACCGGCTTGTTCGGGAGGCTGGAAGTCGTCAAGTCTGCGCGCGAGACGATTCGTAATGACTCTCGAAAACAGCACGTAGACGCGGCTCAGAAGGGAAATCGGTCTGTAGTTCTTCAAGAGAGCGTTGTCACCTTTCTTGAAGAACAAGACCACCGCACTTCTGCTCCACGCCTCCGGTGTAATGCCACCATGGAGGACGGAATTAAAGAGCTTCTGAAGGACTTCAAGTACCGGTCTTCCACCCGCTTTCAGAAGCTCCGCTGTAATTCCATCCTCGCCTGGGGCCTTACCGTTTTTAAGGTGCTGAAGAGCCATCCTAATCTCGCTCAGACTGACATCCGGGATATCTTCGGAATAGTGTCGGATGAGACTCGCTCTTGGATCGTTACTCACACTTGCGTGTGGCTCCAACGATGATGTGTACAGCTGCCCATAGAACCTCTCAATCTCACTCAAAATCTCAGGTGTCCCGGAAACGATGCTGCCACACTCTGTCTTCAGCTTTGACAGTTGACTCTTTCTGGCAGACAGATCTCTGGCAAAGACTTTGGACCCTTGGTTCCGCTCGATCGCTTCTTCAATACGAGCTGTATTGAAGTTGCGTAAGTCCCGCCGCGTGCATTTGGAGATCTGTCTGTTCAGATGCCTGTATGCTGTCAAGTCTGTTGAAGAATATAGCTTCATCTCCCGTCTAACAGCCATGAGATTAAGAGTGTGATCGGAGAGTTTCTGTGTTCTTCTGCGGCGGGTCTTGCAGAACTTAGCTCCAACCGCATGGACAGTTTCCACGAGCTTGTCATTCATATCGTCCACTTCATTGCAGTCTTCCAGGCACTGAAAACGGTTTTGTAACTCGAGCTGAAAGGTTTCGGGACTTTGGAACAGAGCACGAGGGGGACAGAGCGTTGACTTCATTAGACGAGACCTCTCCAACTTAACGTTTAGGTTCAGTGTGCCTCTAACCATTCGGTGATCGCTATATATACTGCTTTAACTTCGGAACTTTGTTAGCGCGATTTAGGCTTCGATGTGTTTCGCTTGTGGCGCGACGACAGCACCGCCACATTACCCCCCTGCTCAGACTGGAGGTCGATAGTGCAGTCAGATTGCCGGTGCGTCCTTAATGCCGGTGGGGAATGCATGCAGTGTGAGTAAGGGCAAGTGACACCGGTGCGAACGATATGCCGGTGTGTAATGCATGCCGGCCGTACTACGCACTTGCAAGTGATGCCGATGAGAATGATGAACCGGAGCAAGTGCCAGGGATTGCCTTATAGTCTGCGGTGGGTCGAGAAGAAGGCAAGTAATCTGCGAAAGTGCCGTGAAGCAGAGGCGAGCAGTAAGGCTCAGAGCCGTGCCGAACACTGTAGCGCAGAGAGTAGCTTGAAGGAACAGGAAGCATTATTATTCCAGTGCTGCGATGAACCTACATAAAGCTAGATGGCTTGCAGAATGTGAAGACTGCAGACAATATCTGCTCGGGAACGAATGAATGGGGTACTTGAGGATGATGATGAAGGTTTTGAAGTTGTAGTTTTCGAAGGTTATTGGTTGCGTGTTTAGATCACGTCGGGGTGACCACTGTGGCGGGTGGAAGGAAAAGGGGAGATCTCCTGCCGGGCAAGGTGTTCTTTCCTGGGAGCGGCCAACACTCCCAAGTGGTAGTTCGGAGCTATTCTATATATACTGCTTTAACTTCGGAACTTTCTTAGCGCGATTTAGGCTTCGATGTGTTTCGCTTGTGGCGCGACGACAGCGCCGCCACACCATGTTGATGTTCATTTTTTCTTACCCCTTCATTGATCTTATATTTTACTTAGGTTTTGATAATAGAAACCTTTCATATTATAGGCAAATTACTTAAATTCAACTGCTGTAGCAACATTGTTATGTGATGTATTGTCAATTGTAAACTGATTTTGATGATTCTTTTTTTATAAAATAAGCCTCAAGTGTACTCCCATTTAAAATTGAAGAAAAAATTCTCCCCCTAAGTGTGGAAAAATAAGGGATGAGGTTTTTAGTGTTGCTATTTAGACAACATTTTAGTTATTATCTTGATCTTGTTTACTTAGTCTTTGTCTTACTTAGTCCACTCAAAAGGTTCAAATAATTAAACTTAAAAGAAAAAGCAAAAACTAACTTCAATAGACTAAACAGAATGGAATAATTTACATACAACTTAATAGCTTGTGAAGTTCTTGCTACAAAGTGTATTGAAGAGTTATAGTCCTGATTTCAGAAGCTTTTAAACTATGTAGAGATTGTTCTTATCTTTTTAGTTTTTGAAGACAGTTTTTTTTACAAAGTTTAATTATAGTTTATCTATACAATACTAATAGGTCTATATTATGAGGATAAAATTATTATTTTAGGTTGTTATACATAGAATTCTAGGGCATGAGCTGTTGGTATGAAATTGAGTTACTATAAACTTTTATTATTTCAATAATATTATGTTAACACATTTAACGGACTACATTAATTTCATTTGATAAAGAAAAATATGTCACAGAAATTTTATACATACAAGCATTCTAAAGGTACATCATTTTATATGGATATAAATTCCATTGTTACAGATCCTGTATATTTTGCATGTGAGGCGGCTTCATAGCAAAGTATTAACCAAAGTAAAGAAAATGTGATTGCAATTGTTGGTATGTAATATTATTAATTAATATAAATTAAATAAATATAAAAATACATTAGTATGGTTTGCTTCGCCAAACATTTAGTAAATCAGTATTTATAACTTCATTTAAACATTTCATTGGTATTATGAAATTTTAAAGAGAGTGCTACCCCTGAGATACAACAGAACAATATGAGTAACATAATTACTGTATTATAAATGTAAAATTTTGTCGATTTAGATGCTAAGGAAAAATCTGAATGGAATGAGAAAAATTTGGCACACTTTCAAGTTATAACTTGGAAGAGGACATTAGGGTACCCTCCCCGGGGTGCAATGTTCATAATGTTATATAAAATGAAATAAAGTATTTATTTACTTATTGAGTCTGTCAGCAGTTTCTACATTTATATAAGACATGCTAAACTACTTAGTTGTAAGTGGCTTATATACATCCCACTGCTGGGAACAGGCCTCCTCTAATATTAGAGAAGGTTGAGCAGCAATTAGTCAGACACAATGTGTTAATCCATATTGACACGTTATATGTATTAAATATATTTTTTCTTCAAGTATAAATATATATTTTCTTCAAGGTTTCCTAATAATTTTTTTCACCGCCAAGTATGTGGTAAATCACCACTTAAAGTAACACTAACAATTTTATTGATGTAATAAAATAAATGATGTATGCTAATATATTATAATTTAGTAAATAATAATTGAAATTACTTATGCTTTACCTTTTTTATAGGTGAAAATAAAGTTAATGCTGTAAAGAAAGTGACAAACGTGTAATTGCTACAAAGTCTGAGAAAAATCTACACCAAAAGATCAGGGCTTTAAAAATAAAACTCACCAAATGTCAGAATAAGGCTATGAAACAAAGTAGTGAATTGAAATCTGCAAAAAAACTGTGTACCAATCCAAAATTTCTCAAAATAATGGATAATTGGACTACCTCTGCAAAATTATTAACATTAGTGCAATTTAGAGAATATAAAAAAAAGAGTAAAGGCCGAAGATTTTCTACTGAGGCAAAAATCCTTGCACTGACAATGATGAAGCAAAGTCCCAAAGCTTACCGCTTTTTGCGAAAAATGTTTATTCTGCCATCACCTCAAATTCTTTTAAAAATGTTAAACAGGTGTACATTAAGACCTGGGATAAACAAAAATATTTTTTCACAATTAAAGATAAGAGCTGAAAAAATGAAAGATGAACACAAATTGTGTGCTCTAGTGTTGATGAAATGCAGTTACGGGCAAGTATTGCCTATAATAGAAGAAAAGATGCAGTGAGTGGTTTTGTAACAGATGGACACGAAGCTAAGAAAATTCTTGCTGATCATGCTCAGGTTTTCTTAATCCGGGGCCTTATTAAAAATTTTAAGCAACCAATAGCCTATACCTTCTCATCAGGTATGACAAAAGGTTATGAATTAGCTAAACAAATAAAAGAAATTATTACTGGACTGCAGCAAGTCGGCTTTAAAGTTTTAGCTACTATCTGTGACCAAGGCACAAATAATAGGCAAGCAATCAAAATCCTCAAAGAGGCGACAAGGAGGTCATATTTATGCCAAAACGAAACGGAAATGCCTCGAGATAATATTTTTATTATAAATTCTCAAGAAATTGTTCCAATATTTGATCCACCTCATTTATCAAAAGGTATAAGAAACAATCTTCTTACTAAAAACCTTAATTACAAAATAGATGGAAAACCTGGCACAGCTAAATGGCATCATTTAGAACTACTCTATAAAGAAAATCCTGGCTACAAAGGCATAAGGCTTATGCCTACGTTAACGGAAACTCATATAATTCCTACCAAAATACCAAAAATGAAAGTCAAATACGCCAGTCAAATATTCAGCCGAACAATCTCATCCAATATGGGATATCTCGCAGGTATATAAATAGTTTTTAAAATCATTAAAATAGTAAGTTACTTAATAATAAATGTATAAGTTAAAAGTAAAGCTACAGCATATATCTATTTATTTAATTCAAAAACTCTTGTGGCTTACAGCAAATCTAATACACAATCTTTATATGGTGGAGCCATGCTGCAGCTATATTAGTAGTATAGTTGTAGCACGAATGGGTCGGCTCGACCGTGGAGGTACCACGCTCTCACAGAATAAAATAGCAGCTTAATGCTGCTGTGTTAGTAGTATAGTTGTAGCACGAGTGGGTCGGCTCGACCGTGGAGGTACCACGCTCTCACAGAATAAAATAGCAGCTTAATGCTGCTGTGTTTTGTATGGTGAGTGTTGAAAACCGGAGACCCTTTTTACTGGAAATGAAGCATTCCATCTTAGTCCTCACGGGTTACAACGCTTCTGCATTTTGATTTATAATCGAGGATAGATGTAGATGTCTATGGGCCGCAGGAACCACTTACCATCAGGTGGACTGTATGCTCGTTTGTCACCCTTATCCTATAAAAAAAAACAAAGTTACATTTGATATGCAATTTTTTTTTAAATTGCATCCATCCGTAACAACAAATTAATAATTATAATTTATAAATTAGTAATTAAAAATTAATAATCAAATATATACATCCCACTGTTGGGCACAGGCCTGCCAATTTCTGTGACTTCACTTGTCTTCGACAAGCTACAACAAGCAGGTTTCCTTACAATGATTTCCTTCACCACCTAGCACATAGTTAATCAATATATTGTGCACTTTAATAAAACTAGTCTGTTACCTATATATAGAGATACACAATTCAAAGAAATTAGAATGTAAAATTTAGTATGTGAGATAATTCAATTGCATTTATTAATGCAACAACTGTAACTTTTACTTTTAAAACCCAAGGTGTATTTATTTATATCACAATATATTTTTTTATTTACTTTCAGATAAAGGCATTCTTCCTGTAGCATGTAAGGAGACTGCAGATTTTCTTTTTTTTATGGATAATTTATTTGACTCCGTAAATGGTAGTTATCCAAAAAATAAATATGTTAAACCTTTACTCGGTCCAGTAACACCCACGTCAATTCATAAAAAAATTTGGAGGGAGGGTAAAAAAATACTTCAGACATTACAATTTGTAAACCAAAAGTGCCTAAAAACAGAATTTGTACCAACAGTACAGAGTTGGATAACTACCATTAATGGCATGGAAGACATTGTTGCGAAGATGGAAAAAGATTATAAAATAACTTCTGTTTGGATGCAACACCTTAACCAAGACCCTTTAGAAAAATTTTTTGGGGCCATTCGTAGTCATGGGGGCCCCAACAATAATCCAACAACAGAACAGTTTGAGTCTGCATTTGCTACATTCCTAATAAACAGTTTAACAAGTGTTTATGCTCCAGGATCTAACTGTGAAAATGATAATGGTGAATCATTATATTCTCTTATAATAAATAAGGACAGTGAAGTCAATAAGACCTGTGAAGTTGATATTAATGACGTACTAGAAATTTAATTAGTACCATTGGCGTCTAAATGCGATCCTAGAATAATGGCGCCATTGGAATATGTAAGTGGATACTTTATAAAAAAATCCAAACAAAAGATTTGGAGGGGATGTAAGGCATGTCGTAACAACAAATGTAATATAAATGAAAAAGATTATATTAAACATCGCGAATTTGCAGGTGGAAATTGGCTTCACAGCCCAAACGATTTATTATTAAAGACATTATCTGAAATGCAGGATATATGTAATTATATGTTAAAAAATATATAGAAAAACCTTTACTGAAAGAGTACACAAAAGTTATAGCTTCATGCCTTATAAATTTAAATTATCTTGATTGTCCTGTTCATAAAATAAAGTTAAGAGAATTTTTGATTGACCAAATTATTATTTTCTTTATCTATAACCATTGTAAAGATATAAATAAAATTATTTTTGGCAAAAGGAGCGTGGATGATAATAATGATAGTATACAATTAATGGCTCACTCTTACTGTAAAAAGTTTTTGAAAAATAAAAGATAAAAATTAAAAAGTATTTATTGTTTTATTTCCGAAGCCTTATAGTTTACGCATAGTTTGCCCTTTTTCAGCGCTGAATTGACATTGGTAGCTAATCTTCTATCTATAACATAATTAATCGATTAGCTACCAATATTAATTAATTCAGCGCAGAATTTTCAATATCAAATAATTAAAATATCATCTACTAAAAAAATATTTTCGTTGAAATGTTGCCAATAACAAAATCCAGATGTCGCTAAAACACGTTGCTCATTTTGGTGTTTTATAAAAAGTACTCTGTGGCGACTGTCCGCAGCACCCAGTGCACGCCTATCTTATACTGTAACGCCCGGCTGTTGCTACTTGCATTGTGTTAAGAGTATATAGTGGCGTGTATAACTTTTGTATATGTTGAGTGTGAGAGAGTATGTACATATGTATCTGTGTAGGTACATGCGTGTGTGTATAATGTAGGAAAGTAGCCTACAAATTTATAAATTTGAATTTGGAATTCTTAACGCTAATTTCATATGTAAGAACCTAATATAATAATAATTAAAAAAATATTTATTATTATTATAAATTATAAATTAACTGCCAAGTTGTTTTAGGCTGGTTTTATCGTTATGCGTTTCGGCTGCGCTGTTGGTGCGCGCGCGTTCGGATATGTATTGGGGTAGTAGTTGCGTTTTAAAGTCGCGCGCTTGAGCAGCGCCGTTCGGTAAACGCGCGTTGTTCGCCGGCGCTGCCTAAGCGCGCGCCGCTCGGGCGCTTCAGCACTCAGTATTGCACGTGGGTCGTTACGTCATTTTCAAGAAACGTAACGAAACCAGTGACTTGGTCTGCGTCACCTGTTTCAAAACTAGTGATTTTTGTAACTGGCTATTTTTATTTGGCTACTGTGATTGTTTGCATAAATACTACCAAGAACTATACAGTTACACACGAAACGAAAATAAATTTAATCACTATCTAAGTGTTTCTAGCTATACAGTTAAATCAATAAATTAACTTCCCTTCATACTTTATTCAGGCTTAGAACTGACTGCATTAAATGTATTTATGATTGTTTTGTATTTACTATGAAACTAAGATTTTCATAAAATTATTAATGCAGGGGTATTTACAAGTCAATTTGATTGTATATACAATGATTATTTATATTCACAGTTTATTTAAACTTGTACAATCCACACTAATTATATTTATATAATATAATAACAAAGAAACGTTACAGTAAATGTACATAAAACACCAAAATAACATATTAATGTAAATTTTTACAAGATAGTATTTAAAATTATAAACAAGTACAACGATGAACTAAAACAAACTAAATTATTTTACTTGAATTCAATGTGACTATTGCTTCCCGGAATTGCAAACCGTTGAAATCATTTACAAACAAAGATCACTCTATTTATATTGTCTATATCTATAGACTAACGTATGAAAATTAAACGTAAAATAATACTGTTACATACGCTGTTTTGTTTATTGTTGTATGCCACACGTGCGCTTTGCGCTTGACCGACCGACATTTAACTCTTGCTACAATCACAGTAATAACGCATTTACAAAAATCACTACTTGTAATATGACTTGAAACTAGTGATTCGGTTACATGCCGCGTAGCCAGTTATTGTAACTAGTGACGTGAAATAACGCCCACGTCTATTCAGTATGCGTTTTAGTGTGACGCCGTTGAGACGCGCCGTTAGGTATTGTTGTGTACAAAATGAATTACATCGACACGGGGCGAGTAATTGAGGAAGTGCGATTTAGAAGATGTTTATGGGACCCGGCCGAAGATTCATACAAGAATAAGGATGCGAAAAATAAAGCATGGGAAGAAATTGGAAAGGAATTGTGTGGTGAAAATTTCAATACAGCCTTAGGTAAGAAAAATTTTTTAATAAAATAATTTTTGTTACATGTATTGTCTGGTACTAATGAAAAATATTAATTAGGTAGATAGGTAGGTAAATCAATTTAAGCACGACAATATTACTGCATTTCGTTCCATTTATTGAATTTCGTGGTACGAGTAAGTAGGTATCAACTAAAAAATCATAACACAGATCTATCTTGCCATGACACGCTACCAGTGGGTGATATGAAGTAATCAGCGAATATATCGCGTAATGTGTTTCCTGATCTATGATCTGGTTGGTCAACTAAATCAGTCATTCCCGTTATAGTTAATGTGTCATTAACGTTGTAGCCATCCCGTATTCTAATAAAATTATGCAATATGCAACAGGCTTGAACTACCTTTTTTGCGACAGGAAAACTGACACTCATTGGAGTATGGAACACTCTGAATTTGTTGGACATTATTCCAAACGTCGACTCTATGTACCGTCTAGCACAACTTAAGCGATAATTAAATACCTTCTTTTTATGAGTCATGTTGGATCGCACATAAGGTCTCATCACATGGTTGGATATACCAAATGCACCATCACCAACTATAATGTGTGGTAGTGTTATATTAGTGCCCAGCAGATGTTTTACACCAGGTAACCTCAATGTATTGTTCTGTAACTTTCGAAAAAGTGAACTCTCTTGAAATATTGTAGAATCTGAGTTTTTTCCGCAAGACCCAATGTTAATATAGGTAAAACAATAGTTCGCATCGCACATTGCCAAAAGGACGATAGAATAGAAATGTTTATAATTATAAAACATAGAGCCTCCACCTGCCGGATTTATTACACGTATATGTTTACCATCTATCGCCCCACAACAATTTGGAAAATTTGCATATAATTCAAATTCTTCAGTAATACGCTGCCACATTTCTGTAGTTGGTTCAGGTATACATTCATGACGAAGATTTTGCCATACAGCCGAACAAACTTCATTTACTATATTAGCTACAGTAGTAATTCCCATTCTGTATGCGATGGATAAATCGAAGAAAGTACAGCCCGTTGCCAAAAACCTGAAACAAAAAAGTATTTTCATTAAATTTCATTACGTGCATAAAAATATGTTTTTATTGCAGATAAACAAATACGCCAGCGATGGAAATCAGCGAGAGATAATTATTGCAGAACAAAAGGGAATATGCGAAATACGCCATCGGGAAGCGCTGCAAAACACAAGAAGTATCTGTTTTTCGAGCAAATGACATTCCTTGATCGTACTTCAGAAAATGAAGTCACAGATTCATTAAGCGATAATCAGTCTAGCGTATCTGAAGATTTGACTACTAGAGACACATATGAAGCAGTTACATCTGCGAGTAACTTGAGTACTCCATCCCAGTTCCAAAGACAACAAGAAAACACAGAAAATAGTAATGATACTCCCAGATGGAATCAAAAGAGGAGAAATAAACGGAAATCCGATCAATCAAATTTTGAAAACGAATTAATAACATTGTTGAACCAAAATACTTCCACTTCCATCCTAAGTCCTGATGATTTGTCATTTTTTGAGTCTCTTGCTCCGATTCTAAATAATTTAAGTGCTTATCAAAAGCTGCAGTTTCGCTCAAAGGTTCTAGGATTAGTCATTGAGATTTCACCTCCAACAACTTCGACACCTAGCTTTTTATCACCGCCAGAAAATAATGTTAATTCTAGTCTGAACGCAAATTCTACATACAATTGCACAACGCGATCATCGCCATATCCTAATTATAACTATTCTACCACTTCTACACCTGAACAGCTCTATGAATCTGCAGTAGCTTTTTCAAATGTCATATCGCCAACTGAGGATAATAACTCAAATTCTGCTCACTCATCTGCTGCGTACAGCTCGATAGTTGAATCAATGAATGTTATGAATGAGACTCATAATGAAGATCAGTAAGGATTTTAGTTGATTTTAGCAGATTTATAGAGTTAAGAAATCCATGACATACAGGTAAGTCAGACATACATTATTTTGACAACCTTAGCCAAAACTAAGAAAATCCTAGGTCAGTAAAGTTTGTATGAAAATACGAGTACATTACACCGTGTTAGGATGACTTTTAAATTTCTGATAAATCTCATTAATGCCATACGCCATAGGGCCAGTCGTGGGCCAGTCAGTGAACTTCGCTTGTAATTAGGTCATTTTCAATTCAATTTTCAAAATCGTAGAACAAAAAAATTTATGATTTCTTAGCTCTATAAATCTGTATCTGTATTGATTTGATTTGTCGGCCTAGTATTGATCCTCATTAAAGACGTTGGTGATTAAGTATTAGCTACAAAAACTAGAAATTATACAACATACACCACCATGTTTCTGCAAAATAAATATTATCATTTATAGTTATTCAATACTCTTTTATTTCACTTACCTTAGAGTGATCGCCAATTTTTCCACAGGAGTTATGGGTATGCAACGTAAGCTGGATCGTCGTAAAGAAAACTCTAACTTGCAGAGTAATTCGTCGAAACTGCTTGTAGATAAGCGAAAATATTTATAAAATTTATAATTATTTTCTCGTAAATCGGAGAAAGATGTTACGTGTTCGCCTCTCAGTAACCTTGTAGCGTTATAAGGATCAACTCTTCTCCTATTAAATCGCTGTTGCCTTCTTTTCCATAAAATGTAAACAGCCAGTACTCTCACCGCATTAACGTTCATTTTGTACACGACTGTCTCATAGCAGCGGAACGCGTGGTACTAATCTCGTTTTATAGTGCACCGCTGTTCAAGCGCGCTCTGTTAACAGCACGCTGCCCAATGCCCATTGGGGCCTATAATATAATTATTTTCTCGTAAATCGGAGAAAGATGTTACGTGTTCGCCTCTCAGTAACCTTGTAGCGTTATAAGGATCAACTATTCTCCTATTAAATCGCTGTTGCCTTCTTTTCCATAAAATGTAAACAGCCAGTACTCTCACCGCATTAACGTTCATTTTGTACACGACTGTCTCATAGCAGCGGAACGCGTGGTACTAATCTCGTTTTATAGTGCACCGCTGTTCAAGCGCGCGCTGTTAACAGCACGCTGCCCAGCGGCGCGTCTAGCGGCGTGACGATAAAACCAGCCTTAAAATGTTAATTTGACACCGAAAGTTACCAAAAACTATGGCAGGTAAATCGACACCTTCAAACTTCGCTAGTTATGCTGCGCAAATCTTATTTTTAATGTGTTTTTTCGAATTCAAATTTGGAATCATGCAAAAGAGCTTACAAAATAAGCTTTCTACAGAAGATTTTAAAACCGGCCAGTATTTTTTGAGTTTATACAAAATATCCCTAAATGGTGTTGATGTGTATATATGGCATGGTCGGGTGCCTCACTACTATACTATTGTTGCACAATGTATAGTCGGTAGCGAAGCCTCCATAGAAGCCGAGAAGCGGGCTTGCCCTATCAAACTGCTCAATCAATAATATCAACTAATAAAAGTAAACAAAAGTACTCTCCTGGCAGCTTATCATGGACTTGTTACGCCAATTTTAAAGTTCGGAATAATATTTTGTGGCAATTGTAGTGAAAGGGAGAATATTTTCAAGGCCCAAAAACGCTGCATAAGATCTATGTCAGATCTAAAATCTACAGACAGCTGTGAGTCTGTGTTTAGGTCACTAAAAATACTTACCTTACCGTGTTTGTATATTTTGGAAGTTGCAATTTTTCTTAAAACGAATTTAAATTTATTTCCGTTACTAGCCGAGATTAGGACTCGTTTGTGTCCTATGAGAATAATACAGTATAAAAACTTATTACATACTGGTAATTATAAAACAGCACTAATTAGAAAAAATATCATGTCAATGAGGCCTATAATATACAATAAAATTCCGCACACTTATAAAGAACAACCTATAAGAATATTTAAATTTAAGCTGACTGCATTATTATTAGAAAAATGTTACTATTGTTTAAAATACTTTTTAAATGATAAATATACTTAAAAATAGATTAAAATGACGTATAAACATAAACGAGAATTTACATTATATATGAATGACATACTAGTTAATTTGCTATCATAATTGTATCTTTTATTTTTTATGACTTTGCATGCCGTAAGGTAGAATGTAGTGGAAACAGTAATGTACCATCTTATATCTGTACCTACATTGTGGCAAATAAAGAATCTGAATCTGAAAAATAATATAACTCATAAACTGTTTCAAACTATTTCAAAGGAGATGTATGAAATTCGGTTCTTGACATCGTTCGTAACAGTTATACAAAAATATGTAGGTAACATAGTGATAAATTATAAGCGTAATTAATAGTGACCGACCGAAGATTTGGTTTCGGTTTCGGCAAGTTTCGGCAAAAAAATCTTGAGGTATGTCTAACGAGAAGATGTATCGTAGTTTCCCGAACACTGCCCAGCCGAGTTGAATCCGTCAATTGACCTCTCGGTCGAAATTGAACTTAATTAGTCGGACTATTTGTCCCAGGTTAACATACTCGTCAATAACTTCGAGCTTAGTGCTCCCAACAACTACCGGCATCGGTGTGACATGGACGTTAAACATGATTTTTGTTTTGTCCATGTTCATCTTAAGACCTATCCGTTGGGAGACACTATTGAGGTCATTGAGCATGGTGCTTAGGTCCTCCAGCGATTCTGCCATAAGGACTATATCGTCGGCAAATCGAAGATGAGTGGTGTACTCGCCATTGATGTTAATACCGCATCCTTTCCAGTCCAGCAGCTTGAAAACGTCTTCCAACGCAGCGGTGAAGAGTATCGGGGATATAACGTCACCCTGTCTTACACCATTCTGCAGTTGGATAGGTTACGTACTCTGATTCTATACGCGGATAGCCATCGTAGCCCTACTGTACAAACACTTCAGCACTTCGATATACCGACAGTCAACTTGGTACCGCTGAAGGTACTGCAGCACCGCCCAAATTTCGACGGAATGAAAGGCTTTCTCATAGTCCACATACGCAAGGCAAAGTGGCAGATTATACTCCTCTGTCTTCTGTACAATTTGCCGAAGGGTGTGTATGTGGTCTATGGTACTAAAGCCTTTTCGGAAACCGGCTTGTTTGGGAGGCTGGAAGTCGTCAAGTCTGCGTGCGGGACGATTCGTAATGACTCTCGAAAACAGCACGTAGACGCGGCTCAGAAGGGAAATCGGGCTGTAATTCTTCAAGAGAGAGTTGTTGCCTTTTTTGAAGAACAAGACCACCGTACTTCTGCTCCACGCCTCCGGAGTAGTGCCACCATGGAGGACGGAATTAAAGAGCTTCTGAATGACTTCAAGTACCGGTTTTCCACCCGCTTTCAAAAGCTCCGCTGTAATTCCATCCTCGCTCGGGGACTTTCCGTTTTTAAGGCGCTGGAGAGCCATTCTAATCTCGCTCAGACTGACGTCCGGGATATCTTCGGAATAGTGTCGGATAATTATCAGAATTTTGTTAAGTTGTGTGTATATTGTGTGTGTGTGATTGTGATATATTAAGTTATGCTCTCATTGAATAATAATTAACAATACGAGTATTGAGAACACAATAAAATATGTTCTCAATTAGCGAGTAACTTCTTATGGGTGTAAGTGTTGATTTTTTTACAAATTTGACTTACAAAAGTATTTCTTAACATTAAATTGTTTATTTTTACTTTAATATAAATAAATATATTGCTCTGTATATGTATAAACAATATACTAGATTCCAGTATACAATAAAAAAATTAACATGTGTCAATAAGTTTCGGTTTCGGTTTCGGCCGAAACTGACACCCAGACCGAAGGTTCATTTTCGGTTTCGGTTTCGGTTGAAAATCCTGTTTCGGTCGGACACTAATAATTAAATTGTTTTTATTTTTCTAATGTATGGGATAGTCATAAAAACATTTTTTTAAAGTGAAAAACGAAAGCTAATACTTTTACCATAGCAAAAACAAAACATTTTTAAATATTTTTATGTATTTTGTCCATGGCATTAGATAATGAAGGCTATTTTTGTAATAAATAGCCTTCAGTATCAAAAAAACTCATAACAATTAAACGTTGAGGCGAATCAGTAGAGACGAATACTGAATAAAAAAATATTTTTAGAAAATCGATTAAGTAGGCTACGTTATTAAACTAAACAAAATATTTGAATAATATCGGATATGATTGAATAGGCTGTATGGTCGTTGATCATTGCATGTTTCGAAGGAGACTTGGTAACTTCCAGTTTAAACTTGTCATACGCATTTGGCATTGTGGTTGTCACAAATTATAAAGTTGTAGTGGTTGTGTTTATGTCCTTGTGGATATATTTCGTGTTTTTATTTTCGTGAATTAATTTAACTTGCCCTTGGCTTTTCTCTTGATTTACAGGACAGTAGGTTGTTGCGCTCACATAATAACAATAATGTGTTACTTGAGTTTTGAGAGGAATAGAACGGACAATGTACAGCCTCAGGCTGCTTTTCGAGATGACATTTTATTAATAATTGCAGAAAATAATTAAATAATTAAAAAAGTTTGAGTTGTATTTTATTTTATTTCATTTAAAATAACTAAAAAAATGTATCCTTTTGTGTCGTTTCAATCTATTGAAACAACTTAACCCAAGAACGAGTGATTTTACTACATAACCTACAAATAATAAAGCAAAATAAAAGCAAACCCCAAGTCTTACAAAACTATGATTTTTGTCGTAAGTAGAAAATGTTTAAATCTTTAAAATAAGGTGTATCTAAACTTTGTTTACGCCGGTCCCAAGCTTATATGGAACCAAGTTCATCTTCTTTCCCGCGTGCTCCTCTGTTCTACACAGGTCATGACCTCGTAGTCTTATTATATAATGTCAACACTTGGCAGATTGCTTTCAATTCGAAATACACTAATTCGTGTTCTCTCTGCCTCAAAGCGAACACGCAGTGAACTGTCAAAAGTTGATCGTCGCGGCAAAACTGCGCGATACTGCTGTCATAAAAAGGAGTTGAGTTGACCGATTAGTCGTCTCTCTCGCACGCGTGGGCTTTTTACCGGGGTTTCTAGAAGACGATCGCTCCATTTCTAACCTGTGGCAAAATGTTCTATAATGAAACATAACTACGATTGTTTATATAGCAATTAGTATAGAGCCATAAGCTGGGCTTTCGGTATGATGTTAGTCGAGCGCAGGGGCGCGTGGGCGATACGTTTGCAAGTTCACTTCACATTTCAATGATTACTCTGTTTGTTTACTTGAGCGAATGAATATTGCGAGTTGAAAATGTATGTTTTTTTAAAGATTTTTAGTGAAAATGGAGGATAATAGTTTTCTTTGTGATGAACTGAAGTGTGTTAACGTGCTAATCGGTGAGGAAAAGGTAAAATCTTTAAATTTTTTTAAATCTCCACAAGTTCCTCCGCAGGACGTGCTTTCTCATCTCTGAAGCGCATCCATACTTATTTGAGAAATACACAAGGTCAAGAGCGTCTTTCAGACATCAATTATCGCAATTGAAAAACAGTTATTAGTACTTTGTTCATGCTTTTCTTTTATTCATGTATTGTTTTGTATGCAAATATCTTTTTCTTTCGCTAAGCAAACCCAAACGGCTTTTTTCAAAGCCACCGAAGGTATGCAATTGCTGATATGTCATACAATCTATCTAGCAATAGTATGCCTTCTGTGTGCTTTGTTAAACACGTCCTCGATAGCACTGAATATGAAACTGAA